CTCCCGCTGATATTTACCTTGTAACCTTTGTATTTATATTAGTTATAGTTACTTACATTAATGGGCTCGGTATTCTGCTTTTAGGTATGATGTACCATTGTCTTTAAAGACCGCAACTCGCGAATTTCGTCAGGGAGGCTTGGAACCTATCAGCTACAAGATTACTGACACCACTCAGATTTCCAAGGTATACTATCAAAGGTTATTCATCCAAAAACAATGATTTTATATATAACGTACTACAAAAAGAATAGGGCCAGATATGGAGGTAAAGATATTAAAACTAGTGAACCCTTTCTTATGCAGGTACCGATGAAGAGACTTTTGGCACATGTGAGCACCAAGGATGAACTGACGCAATATCTTGCCAGCAAGACTCTAGAGAAGGGACGTCAGAATGGTTTGCACGTGGTGGTTGCATGGAGCAGTAAGTGTAGGGCAACACACAAGGATATGGCGTACCTCGATAGCGACCAAGAGGAGGCAGATACTAAAATCCTACTACATGCAGTAGATGCCACCGCATCAGGAGCCAAGAGTATCAAGATCTTCTCGCCGAACACCGACGTGTTTGTACTGGCCCTTAGACGTTACCCGGAGCTATGTGCGGACACTTCATTCGTCACCGGAAGAGGACAGCGCCACCGAAATATCCAGCTTCGTCCAATTGTCCGCGCTTTAGGAGCAGCTAGAACGGCAGCACTACCTGGCTTTCATGCCTGGAGCGGAGCTGATGTCACTGGAAACTTTGCATTTAAGAGCCAATGTCTGTAATTTTCGAGAATCGGTTGACAGTCGTGAATTTTTGAATTTCTTCATATTTTACTCAAATAATCTCTATAGTACACTAATTTCAAAAATCACCTTAAAACTTGTAACAGCTTTTTATTTTTTCAGGAATCAGGTAAAGTTTGAAAAACTCTAAATCGGCGCTCTTTCGAGTATGAAATTTGCGAAAATTGAGCATTTTCCTCCTCGCTCGTACATAAAAACGGAATAATATCTCCAGATGAAATCAAGTCACAAAACAGACACACATTTTTACTTTATAATTCAGCAATTAACTTTAAATGAACCGTTTAAATGAGACTGTACCGGCCGCAAGAAGAAACACGGTTTCAGCACTTTTCAAAAATGGCAAATTTGACCTAACTTCACCATCGTAAAAACCCACTTGGTACATGCAATTTCAGTATAAAACATAAACTGTATTCAAGCATATCCTTTGCTGTTGTTTGTGTTAAAATATTTCTGGCGGCATTCCAAATGCGCACCGTCGAGAGACCAAAACCTGAAGGGTATTTTGACACCAGGAAAGCCCGTGCAACAAGCAAGTTTCGACGCTTGGAATATTAATCCTTTGCAAACATAAGTTACTTCGACATTTAAACCCTAGTCAGAGTTGTAACGGTTTCAGATTATATTTCGGCGTTTCTGTTCGGTTTAACATGATTCCTTTCAACTGATTTTTGCGATAAACCATAATGAAGAGACACGAATACGCAGTTCAAATCAAAGTTCGTAGAGAGGAATATTGTCAAAATACTCGCTTGTTATAGTTTTAACCTTATTGAAACCTTAAAATCAGAAAAGTTATTTACTTACCTGAACTTAAATGCTAGACTGGGTCACAGTACCGCTAACTAAATTGATCTAAATTCTGCATCAAGGCAGATTCAAAGTTAAGTTCGTGTATGTTTTCAATCTGTCAACACGAGGGAAGATAACATTCCGGAAGTGCGTGACGCGTAACGCGCCGGAAAAGAAATTGCTGGTATACGTGTTTTGCGGTGCAAGTCTTTGTTGTATTCGTATAGCATCTCGCACATATTCAAACTTGGTTTGTGGCGCCTGTGGCCCCAGTAATGCTGAATGTATTGGGATCATAGAAAAGATGTCGTGAGTCACTTGGTATGCTCCTGACTTGTTAGTCACGTGAGTATGTTAATGATAGAAGTAAGGTTTTCTGCATTTACGTTAGGTGACCTTTGTTTGATCCACGAAATTGGCGCATGAACATAGGAGTTTTTCCTCGCCACCGCTAAATGTTTGGTTCTGGGTGGCGGTGCAACAAATCACGTGGTACCGTTCTAGATGAGGCTACTGGCTGCTCATAGAGGGGTCCATAAAGGCACATTGATTGATGACTCTGTATGGACTGAAGGAAATGATTTACGCAGACGTTTTCTGAGCGACAAAGGTGCACCTTTTACACTCCTTTTTCGTTTCGAAAATAGACGAGCACGCAAGCGAAGCGAGCGCGCGAGAGAGATCTCCTTGCGCTAATAGTCAATAAATCCAATGCGGTTTTTATTTTCATACGCGAAAATCGACGATCAAAGAGAAAATAGATCGACGATCTCTAAAAAAAAAAAAAGGGGGTCTGTGAACAGGCTACGAAAGTGCTTGCTATTATTTTAGTGAACTTTACAAGAGGTCTCAGGTGACTATGCTAACGTCATGAAAAGTCTACTTAGCTTGTTTAAGTTTAGCTAGGGCAAGAGGAGGAGATGGGTGGGTTGGTACAAATACAAAAATTCAAGTCTTTATCACTCCACTTAGAGCTAGCAGACTTTGTTTGATCCACAAAATTGGCGCATGAAAATAGAAGTTTTTACTCACCACCGCTAAATGTTTGGTTTCGGGTGGCGGAGCACAAATCACGTTGTACCGTTCCAGAACCGCCTACTGTCTGCTCCTTTAAAAGGGGTCCGTAAGGGCACATTAATTAATGAATGACTCTGCGCGGCTTGAAGAAAATGATATACGCAGACGTTTTCTGAGCGACGAAGGTGCAGTCTTTACACTTCTTTTTCTTTTCGAAAATGGCCACGGACTTCTCCCCTCGCCCTTCGCTGCTGGGCAGTCGTTTTTGCCTGAGGGATACCACCTCGAAGGAGTTTTAGCACACAGGTCTCTGCTGGTGCAGACCTAGCGAAAAGGGCATTCTCCATCTGAAATTTTAAATCGATATGAAAGGCTATTTTCTGATTTGGTTAAAAGATGGTAAGTAAAATGGCTGAGACATTTTAAAGCATTTTTTCATTTAGGCGACGGATTTTGACGTTATGAAAAAGAACTTGTCAGTGAATTGGTTTATTTTCTAGCCTGCGAACAAGTGCCGGGGGGTGGTGGCGGAGAGAGCCAGGTGACTATTCCTTTTTTTAGGCGGGAGCTAGCATGTACGTGCATTCTGGTCTAACGCCATAATGAGTAGACTGGCCTTTAAGGGGCGGGAGATCAGATGGTCAACAGCAGGTTGAGGTCTAGGCAGAAGATACCCTTGCTGCAGAGGAGCAAAGCAATACTACTTTTAGTAATTTAAACATGTTAAATACTTGTATTTCGCTCATTAAATGTGTCCATTGTCCATTGTCGATTTGTGGTTTTTCGGAACGTTCTTTTGCGGAGCATTGGACAATTTTTCTTAAACCAGTTTTTTACTCGTTTTACATTTCCCTGCTCTACCTTCATGCTGCATATGGCGTGCGTGTGTACCTAACTCCCTCAATTCATACTGAGGTGATCGATAGAGAAGTCTATACGCCAAGCGGGGTTAAGATTAGTTAATAAAAACCAAAGGCTCAGAAGGCTAAGTGCAATGAAAAGAAAACTAGTGTGAAACGTTTTGCAGACTCGGCTTGCTCTATTTGTTTTCTTTCTCTGTTTAAGTTTCGGCTTGTGCATCCTAAAATCAAGTTTGGTTCGACCTGTTTTGGAGAATATAAAATATAAAAACACTCGTGCGATGATTTATCCTTGTCTGTACAGTTGCGTGACAAGACTCAAATCAAACACGGGCTTTCATCACGCAACACAGGGTTTAGTCCGTGGCTAAACGACGGAAGATTTCAGTAAACTGCGGCCACTTGCAGTTGAAACGACTGGTAAGTAAATTCTTATAGATCTCGTATCTCATTTAGAGCTAGCAAGCCGTTTCTAGCGGCTTCATTTTAGGTGCAGAAACTGGAGGTCAATATTTACACTCAACACGAAATTAGCAGCCAGAGCAGCGCTGTCCTTTTCAGCTACTTCCGTGCAATCAAATGCACGGTTAATCTACTTAGTTCTTTTTTATTACTATCAAATTGAAAAGTGTTTTTCAAAAGATTTTAAGAACTTCCCGTAATGTGCCCCTTGTAAAAGAAGTTAAGTTTGCGAAAACGTTTGTGTGCTTACACTTGCGGCTAGTTTGTTGCAGCGTTCCAACGTGCGAAACTACCCTGCACGTTTCGGTGTCTCAGCGACGCACTTTTGTAATGCCGCCAAAACTTTTTTAACACAAGAAACGGCAGAAAATGTACTTTAAAACAGTTTTTGTTTCATGTTAAAATTCTATGTACCAATTGGGTTTTTTCGATGGTGAAGTTAGGTCAAATTTGCCATTTTTGTAAAGAGCCGAAATCGTGTTTCTTCTTGCGGCCGACACAGTCACATTTAAACAGCTTATCTGAAGATAACTGCTGAATTATAAAGTACAAGTCTATGTTTGCTTTGTGACTTGATTTCATTGAGAGATATCATCCTGTTTATATGTACGAGCGCCAAGAAAATGCTTAATTTTCCCTAATTTCATACTCGAAAGAGCGCCGATTTAGCGTTTTTCAAACTTTGCCCGATTCAGGAAAAAATAAAAAGCCGTTACAAGTTTTAATGTGATTTTTGAAATAAGTGTACTATAGAGATTATTTGGGCAAAATATGAAGAAATTCAAAAATTCACGACTGTCAACCGATTCTCGAAAATTACAGACATTGGCTCTTAAAGGGAAGCTGGAATGCTGGAAAGCGTTTCTTCAAGCTGATGAAGATTGTGTCACTGCACTTGCAGATCTCGGCTCTACCATCCTTCCCACAGCGGGCATGTTCTATGCAATAGAGAAGCTAGTGTGTCAACTTTACCTGCCCAAGACTAAGATATCCAGCCTGAAAGATCTAAGGTGGCTCATCTTTCGAAGAAAACAGGCCGAATCAGAACGACTACCGCCTACACAAGCTGCTCTCCGAGAGGCCATTGAGCGAGCGCATTACCAAGCCATGATCTGGACCAATGACAAAGTCCCTAATCCAGACCTTCCATCACCAGAGAACTATGGATGGAAAAAAGACGAAGGTTATTATAAATTAACGGTTGATATAGTAATAAACTCTCAAGTTCGACACTAAAGATCGAGACGACTTTAATCCACTGCCTTATTCTTTTATATTTCAGACAAATGGATCCCGGTGATGACGCGACTGCAGCCGGTACCCAACGCTGTTCTTTATCTTGTCAAGTGTGGCTGTGGGAAGGACAAATGCCGAAACAATAGGTGTAGCTGTCGAAGGGCGGGTCTCACTTGCACAGGTCTATGCAGCTGAAGCAACGACGAGACAGGAGAAGAGTGTGACAATGTCGATATGATTGAGAATGATAGCTGTGATGATGAAACATCGGATGAGCAGGACGATGACAGCGAGGAAGACGAGGATGATGAATGATTCTTACCTGACGTCCATGTTCTATAGACTGCAATGTATTATGAGATCAGTTGTGCTATTTTTAAAGCAGAAGGTTTTGGGTAGTAATAATTATATATACCTGTAAACCTCCTATGGGTAACATGACGCCCTCGGAGCAACGTTAATAATAGCTAACATATCGCATAGGTAAGGACTGGACTAAGCGTCAAGCCAACGTCGTGCCCAACCTAATTCCATTTGGTTTGACGATTAGCGCGGCAGTGGTTCTAAACGCCAAATTAGTTAGTTCTGTTTTGATTAGCTAGTTTTATTTCTTCTGCGCACTGAAAGGGCCAATTTTCGGAAAGGAATTGGTTTGGCACGACGATGGCTCCACGCTTAGAGCAGGCCTAACAAGTGCTCGCGAGCTCAGCCTCACTTCCATGTCGTCTCATGCGAACAAAACATATTCAAAGGTAGTTCAATTAACGTGAACAAAACATATTGTCATGTAGTTCACTTGTCGAGTCATTTTTTTGAACAACTCCAGAAAAAGAAATATATTTTTTATGTTTATTTGAAGATAACAAACGACCAGCCTCGCTTTCGTGCATTGTTGATCACGTCATCAGTATTTAGTACTTAAGTCTATGGATATGTATTAGATAGACTATATTAAAGATTTATGGTATTTTTGTGGAAATTTGTTGTAGTTAATTGTATTTACACGCCATTTTATATTCGAGCCTCGATTCCATGTTGAACCATATAGGTCTAAAAATAGACCCCCGATAGCGGCCGCCGGTGCAGGTTACAAAATTGCCGACAACATTGTTTGTGTTCCTTAGGGTCCCCTTAACACATCTAGGTAGGTGGTTTGCTTTCACCATAAAAATCCCACGGGATTACATATGCTCCCTGACTAACATGTAACATAACTCATTCTCCGGAAGTCTAGTCGTGCCATGAGTCAAAACAAGCACGCCACACATATGACATAATTCGTTCTTAAAAACATGAGTCGAAACAAGCACGCTACACATGTAAGATCACTCGTTCTTAACGCGAGGAGCAGAAACAAGCACGCTACAGTAACATCAATAACATCTTCATTTTAATAATATCTTCATTTTAAAAGCACTAATAAACAAATATGTTAAATCTAAACCCAAGAAATCAAATAACCTTTTATTCACCTGCTTTGTTGACTTTAGTAAAGCATTCGATAGTATCCCCAGAGGGAAACTGTTTCAAAAATTGAAGCTAGCGGGAGTAACGGGGCGCTTCCTTGAGATTTTACATTCAATGTACTCCAATGATAAATCCCTTTCGATGCCATACTGGTGTAAAACAAGGTTGCATGCTCTCGCCAACCCTTTTTAACCTTTATCTCAGTGACCTTTCAGAGAAATTTAAGGCCAAGAACCTAAACGACGTAGAACTAAACGAGTTACCGTTAAGTTGTATGCTCTACGCGGATGACTTGGTCATATTCTCCAAATCAAAAAACGGACTGCAGAATTATTTGGATTCCCTCAGTGAATACTGCAAAGAAAACGACTTGTCGGTTAACCATAATAAAACTAAGGTGTTAATTTTTAATAACTGCGGGAGAACCATGAATAAGCACGTATTATACTATAGAGGCAGTAAACTTGACAATGTTAACAATTACAAATATCTTGGCCTACAATTTAGTACTTATGGGACCTTCACGTACGCTAAACAGGAAATAAAGAAGGTTGCCCTTAAAGCTTTGTACAAACTCAGGAAGGAAATGGGCGACCATTTCAGAGACGATGTACAGCTCACAATGAAAATTTTTGACACGGTTATTTCCCCAATACTCACCTACGGAAGCGAGGTCTGGGGGGTCGATCACGACGGAAAGCTAGAAAATGATCCAATTGAGTTTGTTCAAACAAAGTTCATAAGGTGGCTATTGGGAGTTAACAAATTCTGTAGCTCAAGCGCGTGCAGATCGGAAGTAGGCCGTTTCCCAATGCGAACGAAGACAAAGTGCAGAGCCATTAAATATTGGCTGAAATTTTGTGAGCCGGAGCACCAAAATAAACTCTCTGGAATATCATTTACAGACCAAATTGGTCAAGATAAAAAGGAACTTTGGTCAAGCAAATTAAAACGACTATTAAACCTCGCAGGTCTTGGCGACATATGGTCAGCGAAAACTAACACTCCCGCAACCATGAACTATATACGACAGAGACTCTTAGACATAGAACAGCAAACATGGATTAGCGAAATACACAATGATGAACGAAAGGACCCGCATCAAAAAAACAAACTAAGAACTTTTAGGAAATTTAAACTTACCCATGACTAAGAAAATTACCTCACAAATGTAAGAAACATCAATCATAGAGTAGCAATCACAAAGCTAAGATTAAGCAACCACAAACTAGCAATTGAAGCTGGACGATACGTTAAACCCTATCAACCACCAGACCAAAGAATCTGTCCATTATGTAAAACTGGATTAGAAGACGAGGAGCATTTTTTGATGAATTGCATAGCCTATAGGGATCCTAGGAGAGAGCTGTTCAATACGCTAAAAAAGGAAACTAACCTTATTCTTGACTCTATGACTCCAAGCTCTGCCTTTACAACGTTGATAAGTATGAAGCAAGGAGAGAAAACGCAAAAAATTGTGGCTAAATACGTATATGATCGCTTCCGTGAAAGAGATAGACGCGTTAAATATAACCTTGTTTAATAGTTGTATAAATTTTACAAATGTACACCTTTGTAATTATTGCACGAAAATCTTTGTTATCATTGTAAACACGTGTCTGTAGGCGCTCTGTTGATAATAAAGCACTTATCCTATCCTATCCTAACATAACTCGCAGACACATCTCGCCCGACTTTAATAAAAAGCCCAAAGAAGCACTTGTTAAAAATCAGTCGTTTTGAAACTTATGTTACCGGTGGTTTGAATTTAAAATTTGGTAATTTGAGGCATCTGAACTAATTTCCAGTATACATCGAACAATATTCATGTTATCACGGATGATTTGCTATATGCTGAACGCGCTTCATACTCGTGGCCGTCAAGTATAAACCGATGATTTGTACCACAATATTAACAACACTTCCAATCACGGACGAAAATAAAAATATATATATAAATACTTATATAAGAGCACCATTGACATTTGAATCTGTAAATTGGTCATTGATTTTTATTGAACTGGTGGCTCCTAAAAGAGCCGGGTTTTTTGGGTCCTGCAATCAATACATTGCAGGTTTTTTAGTTTTTTTCTTTCTTTGTGTTTCTGGATAAAACTCCTTTTAATTTCCGGGCAATATACGACTTCTCCGTCTTTTCTTGTTACTGTGATTTATGTCTGGGCAGTCCGTTGAGGTGTAGCCATTTGCCGTAATCCAGGTCAAAGTAAAACCAAGTGTTTCGTTTGGCATCAACATTGTTCAGGATAAAGTCTAATTGCTGTGCACGCTTTTCTGCCTTCATTGGCAGCCAACTCTGGGAAAGGATTATCCAATGTGTTATCAGCTGCGGAGCACAACCATTCCCCAAGCAAAACATCATAAGTTTAAACGTCTCCTTGTCGCCATGAGGTTTGGCCCAGAACATCCTCTGGTATTCTTGTGGCCATGACTTTAAAGGGAAAAACGCATTACAATTTATGGTCTCTAACAGTTCTCTACGCTCCGCAATAACTTCTTGCTTGCTAAGTAAACGAAACTTGCTTCGATACTCATTCAGAGTTGCCATTTCTCAGAATGCCTTACAAGCGTCTGTGTGCATCCTCTTTAAACCGATGATTGTTGTGTTCTACCCTTTCCACTGTTAAAAAATATCGCACGTTCTTTGTTTTATTAATATCAATGCGGCAGGGTTTGTACCGTCCAGGCTAAAGGAAATTAAAAGAAAAAACGCATTACCATTGATGCTTTCGAACAATTCTCTCGGCTTGGCAATAGTTCTTGTTTGCTAATCTAATGAAACTTACTGCGATACTCATCCAGTGTTCCTAATTCTAAGACTGCCCCACGTGCGTGGGGTGTATCGCCATTTAAATGCGATTCTTGTGTTCTACCCTTTCCATTGTTTTAAAAAAATCGCATGTTCTTTGTGTTATTAATATCAATGCGCACGGTTTGCACCGTTCAAGTTAATTCAAATGTTTTTCACATTTCATTGACCAGTCCAAATTAACTCAAATCCCAAATGGATATACCTGTGACGTTATCCCCTTCCTCAAAACACACAACAATGACATCTTGCATTTACCTTGTGTTTATAATACGCCGCCAATTAAAACTAATTCTTATTTACTAAATAATTATTATACACAACTGAGCCATTATAAAAAAAAAACGTTTCTTGGCGGTCTCAGTTCTTACTGCAGGTAAGCATATAAAATTGCTTCTTCTTGTTTCTGCTGAAATAACTTCCTTATTCAACTTAAAATAATTCTTAAAAACCGTGGCCCATTATTATTTAAACATCTCTTCACTAAACCTAAAATATGAGCGTTACGGCGATCTTCTAAACTCTGAAATTTAAGATAGACGGTGGATGTTGAACCACATTTAGATTTAACTATAATTTTCGAGGCCGGCCTTTGCAAAGATTCAAGACTTTCCATATCTGCTTTATTGCAGCTGGACCAAACAGCATCGCAATAATCAAAAATGGGCAAAATTAATGAATTATACATCTCGAAAGCTGCATGTATAGTGATATTCCTTCTAAGGCGTCCTAAGACACCAACTCTTTTACCAACCTTAGAAATAACATAATGAACATGGTCTTTCCACGCAAGACTATCGTCAAGAACGATGCCTAAATACTTAAAATCATAAACTCTATTAATTTCATAATCACCTATTTTGATAACTACTGTGTCAGTAGCTTTAGAAAGCCTAGTAGT